TCTTCTGATACAAAAAGCCTGTATTAACTATTAAGAATGATATCGCACGTACCAATATATTAGCCTGAAAATTTACGTAACATGCACGGTCTTATCATTTACTTCTATTTTTGAAAACCCATGCTTGTTCACTTCCTTGTGTAAATGCATTTTTGTGCACAGCGATATACTAAAAATAAGTCTTAAGAAAACATATTAATTTCAACTATTTATTACATGAAATTTTCAATCTAAAGAACTTCCCTATTCACCATTCGAGTGCAAGAATATCAATAGCTAAGGGGCCATTCTCTTTGCTGTTTTCGTGGCGTTTTCTGTTTTCGATTTTTCAAAACAATAAAAACACGTTCTCTTTCTCATTTTAGAAAATGAATTTTTGATAAAAAAAAAAAAATTGCACACAAAACTCTGAGTGTTTTCAGGCAAAAACACGCATAGAATTGAAAACACGGAAAACGCCTAAAATATCAATACTTTGAAGTAAAATCTTCCATTTCCCCCAAAATTCTTTCTCTAAGCTACCGATCCTTTCAAGTAAAATCTTAATACTTTGCATCCCAAGAACAACACCAGCAACAACATAGGTCTTCCTTCGATTTTTCTTCACAATTCCTGACAAGTAAATTAAGGGTTTCTCCAAAAATGAGGTTTTCATCCTTTTTATGCTTCAAATGTGATTTTGCTCAATAGGTTTAGCAATTGAACTGGATTTTTTTATTTATTTTTATTTTTTTATTTAGTTGTTAATCACATGTTATTTTGCTTAATGGGTTTATTTGGGTATAATTATTTTGATCCATCTCGGGATGTTTTTGGTAGAAGGGAAATGGCTGGAAGCTTGTAATTGAATTGCTCATTTTTTATTCCATTTTGGCTTTTTGATAGAATCTGAAATGAAGTCCACCATTTCAAACTAAATGGAATGACGTTCCGACAATCTCGCTCTACTTTTCTACTCACTACACCAAAATAAAAGTTTTTGCAACGGGCCAACGGCCAAAAAACGCTGCAAAAGACCTTTTGCAGCGTTTCAACGCGTGTTGCGAATATCGATATTGTCATTGAGGAAAGAGTTTTTGCAACGTTGCAAATTCAATGTTGCAAAACCGAAATGACCCCCCCAAAAAAAAATTTTCTCGGTTATGAGACACATTACAATTTAATATAAGTCCCCAAAATAAAATGAAAAAAAAAATTAGAGGGGGGTCAAACTTCTTGAATTAAAAAAAAACCAATAATCATTATTAATTGAACTCTAAAATGTAACAATATTCGCACAAAATCCAGATCCAAAATTCCAAATTATGTAAAAATCCAATCCATTTTCCCAAAAAAACAAAAAAAACAAAAAAAAAAAAAAAAACAAAAAAACAAAACAAAAACCACTAACTACGTAGTGTGTGAAACCACCCTATCGATCTCCTTAATTTTCTTCTCAGGAATCTTCGACATGAAGCTCCTCAACAGTTTCAATGTTGTGAGCAAAAGCATCTAACCTAGATTTTGCAACTTTCTCAACACAGCTGTGGTCTCCTCGAAAATCAGGAACTGCAAAATTGAACACAATGCAGTTAGCAGAAAGTGTCTCAAGAATATATTTTTCATCATGACAGCAAAACCAATCCTAGTTTTCATATCAATATACCAATAGTAAAACAACATTATTAATGTTTAAACTTTTAGATAGGCATCCAACATCTAAACTAATAGGTTGAACTTCTTCATGAACACCATGAGTTTCCCCGTAGAAGTTTCTGACTAAAGGATCAGCAGCTCGGTAAGTATAACAGATAAAGGCCATTAATCAACGCCAATCAGTTGAGGTGCAGCGTATAAAAACTATTAATTGGGAGCGGACAAAAGCAATGTAGGTCTCTATAAACAACAGTGAGTCGTCAAATTTTTAGTTGGTCCCAATCCAGATCCTGCTTTCCTATCAAACTGTGCAGGTAACTGACTTTCTCACTGCTTCCTTAAAGTCCCAGATTTACAGGAGCGCGTGATTTTTTCACATTGCAGAATCTGAAATTTTAAGATGAAATATAAGACTCCACAAAATTCAGAATCTTCAATTTTACAATGACCAGGCAAAGTTCAATAGCTTGCACTAGAGAATAGACATAAAAAAGAGTCCCATCATCGGCCCACAATTTGCATCTTTAAACTTCAATTTCTTTAGACAGTCCACTCATCATATACCATGAGGTAATAAAATCTTTTTTTCCCCAATTCAGGAAAAAGATTGACTGCAATTACGTGCATGTTTGGGACAGCTCATAACCCTGTACATATATTGCTCAATTTCGGCTCAAATTCTTTTCTAAAAGCATGTCATTAAATCTCCCTTAAGCAATGAAAATATCTTCCTCAATAGAACTAATGAATGAATACGCATATGGTACATACAACAAACTAATCTCTTCAGCATCAACTGCTTCCCGAAACTAACAAAAAAAAAAAAAAAAAGCCTCAGTCAACGAATGGAGAATAAAATGAAAAACGAAATAAAGCGGCTAAGGTGCATTCATCTCACTTTGCAATACTGTCATTGTGTTCTCTAATCCTTGACAGTACACAGATTTCTACGAGCTGAATTCTCATTTATAACAGGCAAATAGCGTCCAACATCAAACAGCAATGGCACGAATGTTCTTTCCAGGCTTGTTCACACTGAATTCCGCAAAATCTCTTTTACCACTAGCAATAGCAAAAAAAAAAAAATGTCCAACATCAGGACCTCTGCATAAAGGAACAATGAATCAGTTGCAAAACAAGTACTTGACAATTTCTTTTAAAAACTTGCCTATCTTGGAATATTATGAATAATAGAAACTAAAATATGCATAGCTTCTTGACCTTAATGCAGTTTGAGATTCAGCCATAGAAATCAAATTGCATCATCATTTGGTCTACTACTATTCAAAAGTTCACACAGAATGTCCATTTTTCCTAAAGATACCCCCAGCCCCCCAATAATCATCCTTAGGGCCTGTTTGAGAGCTCGTTAAGAAAATCATCTTGAGCTAACTCTCTCTAAATCTAATCAAACAAAGAACTTTTTAAATGATCTCTTAATTGTAGCACGACAAATCTAGCAATATATATTGACTACGAAAAAAGCTGCATTAAGGACAAAAATAGCTAAGCATTAGAAATATGATGTTCTAAGCAGGATTTATTCTCTAAAAGGGGTATCTAGCACTTAAAATGGCATAATAAAGATAAGAAAGCTCAATCTTTTATAAACAAAATCCAGAAACAGCAGAAGGACTATATAAACCATAAGTAGACGAAGTGTTTGACCCAACTATCAAGAAACAGAAGCTCAATCTGTTAACTAATACACACTAATCAGACGAAATACTTGATAAACATAGACTAGCAAAATGCATTTTCCCAGATCAATATTTTGACTAACATTAATTTACAAATATAGCATACTTAACAACACATAAACACAGTGGATAATTATGGTAGAGTCACCAATTTTACCTATCATAGATCCCAAAGGGGGAAAAGACGAATAGCTAATCAACTAACAGAAAATTACCCTTCAAGAACCAACAATAAAGAGACGAACAGAAACGTGCCCTTCTAGAACCAAAAATTAACCAAAAAAATGCATCAACTATCATTAGCTTCAGAAAGTAATATGGTTCATTAAAAATTATATATTATTTATTTATTCAATTTGAATATATTCATATCTCTGTGAGCGTTTATTTCTATCTGTATATGTCTAAGACAAACATATTCTCATATTTCATAACATAAAAAGAAAACCTTGCTTGCAAATGCATACCCAGCAGATCAGTTGCCCAACAAATAAAAAAATCGTCTCTCCATTACAGGATTTGAGGGATCGATTGGCAAAAGAAATAAAATGGGAATTGTTTTTCCCTCTATATGCCGGCAGCAAGGGTTGGGGTAAATATGGAAATGGAAGGGTTTGGAGTTTTTTTGGATTGGATTATTGATTTTCTCTATTGGCCTAATATTTTTAAACAAAGAGAGTCTGCAACATTTATAAAACGTTGCGAAAGGTTCAACTTTTCGCAACGTTTGTCAAACGTTGCAAAATAGATAACATTTCGCAACTTTTTTTAAACGTTGTGAAATATCATTTTTCGCAACGTTTTTGATCTTTTGCAAAAAACATTGCTAAAAGGGTTTTTCGCAACGTTTGATAAGCGTTGCAAATATAAAAAGTTTCGCAACACTAAATAAACGTTGCAAAAGGAGACATTAGCAACATTGACTTCAAAAATGTTGCCAAATCTCAATTATTAACACCAATGGCAACATTCACTTATTAGAATGTTGCAATAGACCCTTTTGTCAACATTTAATTGATGAATGTTGCATTTTATATGTTGTAAAAACACTTTTTTGTTGTAGTGACTTTAGAATTCTTGAATCTGGCTTTAGATCTTTATATTTTGGCAGCATATTATAGGACGACATTCTGCTATTGCAAAATCGAATCTGCCCGAAGTTCAATGATTGGGCTACTTTTAGCTTATTTTCTTTCCAATAATTGTTTCATGCTAATTTCGTGGGATGCTTCAACCTTAGCTGATTCTCTGTGGCTTGAGTATTTTCGGTGGCAAGTCTGAAATTGTAATCTTGCTGGACCACGCTTAAGGCAAGTTCCCTTTTGTGGACTGATCTTATGAAAGGAAGGATTCACTAACATGATTAATTGGTGCCCTTTTCCCGGAAGTAATGAGTGTTACCCTTTCCATTGTCATCAATCAGCCGAAGTTTTATATTTTAACCCAGTACATGGATTTAAAAATGATATTTAGAATATCTCCATGTTGACGAGTTCACGATCAGAAGTGATTCAAGATCGATTTGAACAATCATAAACATAAACATTATATCAAGTAGGGAAGAAAAAATAAGATTGTATCATCTAAGAAAAAATAAGAATCATTAATCTGATTGCAGAAAAAATGTTTAAAAAGCAATCTTTTCCATACTTGAAAAAGCAAATCACATGCAAAACATATCTTGTCTTTCAATGTATCACGTATGGAGTAGACTATGGAAGGTCTTATATATTTCTTGATAATTTGAAGTATATTCAGTGTAGCTTGAAAATGGGTGGTCAAAGAGGTAGGGATAAGAAACCAATGTCATGGTCGGACGAGACCGAACATGCTTTTATCGAAATTCTTTACGAAAAAGTGAAATCAAACGCATTACAATGTTCTACATTCATGAAAGACGGTAGGATCAATGAAACCATGATAGCTTCAACAAAAATGGATTACGGCATAGATAGATTAAAGGGAAAGTGGAACCGTTTATATAAGATTCATCGCATGTTCTTTGAACTTTTGGGACATTCAGGTAGAAATTATGGCAACACTTTTATATGGTGCAGATTAACAAGTCTGATTACAAGATGTTCAAGATGGAAGGATGTAAGCACTACCACACTCTTGGGGACATATTTAACGGGACTACAGCTATTGCAGGATTAGGCAAGGCCTCCACTCAGCTTCCAAACACATCAGAGGAAGAAAGGTAGTTAAAAGATGATTTTTTGAACAGGGGAGTGCATAGACGTGCAAAAAATGATAATGAAGTCGATAAGGCTTCAAATACTCGTCGACATGACGAAATTGGCACATCGGGTGAACATCGACGTAAGGAACCTAGGATTAGTAAAAGTGATAAACTTGAGGCCTGCATGGTACAATGGTCATCTACAATTAGTTTAAGGAATGAAGAAACTAAACTTAGAACACTTTACCTAAAAGAAAAGCTTGTAAAGATTCAAGGAAAATCATGTAATCAATTGGATAGTGAAATTAATAGTCCGGTTCCTTATTCAAATGTTATTTGTTTGGACATCTTAAACAAGATGGAAGGGGTCTCTAATGAGATTTATATGAAAGAGATAAAAGCTTTTAAGGATCCCGATTTTAGGGTGTCATTTGTGAAGATGCCAAAAGCAAAGAGAGGACCTATCTTAGAACTACTTTGATGTTACTATTGTTTTAATTTTTCTAGCATCATGTTGTTTTAATTTGTGATGTTGAAGGTTAAGGTACAGTGTTATTTTCACAGCTTGAAGTACTTTTTTTCCTTTCATGGTGATGTACTGTTTTCATTTACGAACTTAGTAATGTTGTTCGTTAGAGAACTGATGTTAATTTTTCTTTAATTTCTGAATGCCTGATTGCTTGTTTTATTTGAAAGAATGATGGTTGATATGACTTATGATAATAATTGTGGTTATATTTTGTTCACAGTATGACCAGTGAATCAAATGTGGATGATACTACATTGACGAAGATTCGAGTGATGATGATTTTTTATTTATGAATGATTTTGACGCAAATTTTAGAGATTTAACGATGCTTAATTGCTTTGTTGCCAACAAAGGAAGTACCATTAGCAAGCTTGTAGAACATTATTGCTTATGGAAAAAATGTACACACTAGAAATTCTAAATGGACATCCGGACGCGTGCTATCGTAATTTTTGTATGCAGAAACATGTTTTCATGAATTTTTCTGATATTTTGAAAGAGAGAGGGTTGCTAAAAGATGGAAAAAAAGGTGAGCGTCGAGCAGGGTGTTGCTATGTCTTTTATGATTGTAGGGCACACTACACGATACAGTGTTATTGGTGATAGGTTACAGTATTTCAACACCACCATTTCAACACCACCATACACAAATAATTTAAACGAGTTATAAGGGCTGTTTGTTCATTTGGCACCGAGATAATCCATCCGACAAATCAAGACGTTATGCATGAGCGAATTTTGCACAAATATCCTTTCTTTAAGGATTGTATAGGCGCAATAGATGGAACACATGTTGCAGTTTGGGCACCTGCATTAAGACAAACATCTTTTCGTGTAAGGAAAGCTAATGTAACATAAAATGTGATGTTGACACGTGATTTTGATATGAAATTCACATTTGCGTATTCTGGTTGGGAAGGTACTGCTAATGACTCGCGAGTATTCGTTGACGCAGCCACAAGAACTCAAAAAACTTCCCAATTCCACGAGGTATATTCCTATACTTCAAATAATTGTTGCAAACATATTTACAACGTCATACTAAGGAAACTTTTTTTTTTTTTTTAATTTGCAGATCAACTTTATCTAGTTAATTCTGGATATCCAAACATGCCTGGATTTCTTGCTCCTTATCGAGGTCAAAGATATCATCTACATGATTATGTTGGATGGGGAAGACTAAGTGGGAAGGAAGAATTGTATAACTATAGACACTCCTCATGCCGTAACATTATTGAACATTGTATTGGAGTTTTAAATGCAAAATTTCCTATTTTGAAGTTGATTACCAATTATCCACTTAGTAACCAAAGACAAATCCTTACTGCATATTGCACAATAAACAACTTTATTCGTCAGGAGCACACTTTAGATAAGTTGGTCGTTGAGTAATCAGAGGAGAATTTGCCGGAGTCAAATCAAGATTAAGAAGTCATAAATTTTGATGCTAGTCAAACAGTTCAAATGGGACAAGTAAATGATCAAATTGCTACACAAATGTGGAATGACTACTCAAGACGTCGTACATGATTCCACGGATGTACTTTATATTTTGTTTAATGTCTGCTTGTTTTGCTATGACACGTAAATTTTTAATAGTGTCTATTGAACTGTTTTACCAAATTTAATTTCAGTTGTGTTTTTTATCTCTATCAAAAAATATTTCAAGATTCACCAACTTCAAAATTTATATGTTAATTAATATTACACGAACATCAATCTATTAAAATTTATTGAATAATCATATTTCTTGAATAAAATATTATAAAAAAATATTCTCAAAATTTCAAAGTAAACGCGTTTTTCAGTTTTATATTTTGAGAAACAGTTTTTCAAAATGACAAAAAAACGTATTTTTAGCAATTTTGAAATAGGTACTCAAAATCCAAAATTAATTCAAAACTCAAAACTATAAAATTGAAGCACGAAAAGAACAACCCCTAAATTTTTCATATTTCTCAATTTATTGTAAAGTGCAAGAATATCAATAGCTAAATTTTTCATATTTCTCAATTTATAGTAAATTTCTTTTGAACCTCATTATCCAAAAACTCATTTGCAAACTCTTTTTCCCTTTCCGGTGAAAATTAGGCTCAAAACAAGGTTGAAATATTTATAAACTTTCAATAAATTCTTAATTATTCTTCCCTAAGTCCCATAAAAATAGTCCCGTTTTCCTTTTTTGTCTCTGCCGAATTATATTCCTATTTTTTATTTGGAACTGTAGTTAATACATTAATTGCTCTTATTTAATGTCCTTGTCATCACAAATATAATTTAATTACCTTCAATATTGATTGCATGAATGTAGAAGTATGTTAGGAAGAATGATAGTAACATTTATTGTTTCAAGTGTGATAACTAAATTTTTTTAATCCGTGTGAAAAACAAAATATGACTATTTTTATAAGACTTGGGGTTGTAGAGAAAAGCTTTTTTTTTTTTTTTTTTTTAATAATATGACACGGATATGTTTGAGCCCTTGTTTGGTGGGCATTTTTTGGGGGGAAAAACCATTATTTTAAATAATGAATTTTTGAAGAATATGTGGTTAAAAAGTCGAGAAAAGTTTTAAATTTACATGTAAAATATTTAGCCCTTGTTTGAGCTTCATTATTTGAGAAAAATTGATTTTGGAATAATATTTTTTGAAAAATGTGTAGTTAAAAAGTAAAAAGAACTTCGGGATTTACGTGTAATATTATTTTGTTAAGAGAATGCGTGATTTATAATAAGAGAGAAAAATGGATTAAAATTTATTGTATGAATGTGTTATTGAAAACAAATATATAGAAAAAAGAGTTTTCGAAAGAATGAGAGACAAACAGAAATGAGCCGGTGTAGTTAAAATCACCCAAAAGAGCTGAAAAATTTTAAAATCAAAGTTCTTTATCCAAATTGCATACCAATCCTCACAAATTCTTACCACTATACCTCTCATTCTCTCTCTAAAATTGCTCAATTCTCCTATTTCATCGTCCTCTCTCTTAAGTACTGTAATCACAGTGGGTAGTAAATACTGACATATATATAGAGGGAAGAATACCCTTTGAGGCTTTGAGCTTTTTCCAATCCCTTGTATATAAACTTTTGGCGACAGAGTTATGTAAAACCAATGATAACTAATGTGATTTTGGTTCAAAGTCCAGTCAACAATGATCCGTTAAACTTTTCCCCTAAAAGAAGACTTGTGAGGAATTTGTCGGGGAAGGAGAGGGACCATTATAATGAGGAATTCGACAGTTACACAATTTATTCCAGAATATGTTGGGAGTCAATTGGTAGAGCTACTCAAAAGGTTCTCATCCGGTCCCATGTCTCAAAGTTCCCCGACTTCATCTCCACTTGGGAGGCACCATAACTGAAGCTATGACTTGTATAACGCATCATCACCTTCAGTAAACCTATTACCCTCACCCACATATTCTGAATTAAATGTCGCCTCCCTCACCAGTGTTGTTAAGATAATGCACGTTCTGGCCTATACAAGACAAGCTCAACAGCTGATAAGGTATTCTGCTTTTTTCATTATTGCATATAAAATTCCTTTCTTTCCCTACCAAGTACTTCAATCAATGGTTGTTTTTGTTTGTTGTGGTTGTTCTCTTTGGAGAAAGATGTGGCTCGAAGAATGTCAAAGGATGAACCTTTATCAAATATCTCACCACCTAAATCATTCTCTAGAAGCTCCAGTAGGTTCACTAATCAGGATGATTATGATGACTTTTTGAGTTTTTTGGACCATTTGTTGTGGACAATGATCCCACGACAGATCCAGGTACCAGGTAATCACAAGACATTCTTAGTTGCCATTTGTTAATTTTACGAGCAAAGCACATGTTGCTAAATTGTTTTATGGATAATTCATGACTGCACAAGTTTGTCGTCTTGCTATTGTTGGTGATGTTCGAATAAGGAATTCAGAACACCGATAATACATGAGATGAAACAAAACGTTGATGCTTGAAGAGAGGTGGCAAATTTGTCGACTTGAAATATTATGCTTCCATCGAGATGAAAACTAACTAAATGTTCAATGAAAAGAGACATAAGTGAATAAAGATGAAAATACTATTCAAATTACAGCTGTGTCTAGACTTATAGCTTACATAGAAGCGATTCAAACTTGGTGGTGATCTGGTGTATTTACCTTGCTTTCAAAATATGTGTGCACCTTTGTCTCAAAATT